TGAACACTTCACAATAGAATATGCACTGTCACATATATCGCATTTATACGATATCACACACTTCATGTTACACACAGTAAGCCGCATCGGCGACTTAACACTCGCGACGGATGAAATTCACTTTCGCGACACACGGGATAATCGGTCGACAATTAACGCGCGTTGTAGTCTGGACACTCGCGACACTCGACACTCCCGACACTCCCGTTCGCGCTGCACTCGCGACTTTTTCGGCGGTTTGAGGCACGCGAGACGCGACAACCGAACTTCCGAGTAGCCGCGGAACGGCCGATTCGCGACTATGGCTCACTCACGACGACCGATATTTCCCGGCACGCTTCTCCCGGCGGCTGCTTGAGAGCCACAAACGAGCTTACGAACGCGCCACTTACTCACGACACCCCGGACACGGGGCTCGCCCTCTCGGCGAGCCGAAATCGACGGAAACACGGAGCGGATTCTCGCGGCCGACCGACATTTACTCCGCGTCCAACAACTGTACGTTAACTAGATTCGTAACGGTTGCAATTTTCAAACGTGAAACCAGCGGCCAATCAGGCTGCGAGCTGTCAAGCATCGATCTTGCAGTGACAAGAGAGCCTATCTCGTATAATCATAGGTCTGTTCGTATTGCATGAATACGCGTCTAATATATGGGGTGTGTTCGGTTTCACGCATGATGCGCATGATGTTAAGTACAAGAACATCTCACAAAAATTATACATATTAACATGTACAGCGTACAATAAACGCAACTGAGTTAATCGAAAATGCAAATGTCTGAAAAGAATTAAAAATTCGATGTCCAAAGTCAATGTATTTTCACTTATAAATTCCGTAAAAAGTATATAAACTAGTGGAATTAATAAATCACCGATAAATGCTAATTAAAACACTCGATTCAATATTTCGCGTATTATTTTCGCGATGGATTAATTTTAATAACCGATGAAGATTTTGAAGCACGGCGTGAGAAAGATTCATTCCGAGTTCGAACGTTAAGAAAGGTATCGCCCGTGTATTATTAAAATTAAAATAATTTTTATAATTCCCTTCTCGCATTTTTACTTTAAATTACGCGTAATATTCTTCTCGACAAATTATCGCAGTACGACAAGATGACGGGTCGCGACAATAACTTATGCGCGATTAATAAATGGTGATAACTCTCGTAGGAGACGATCGCGGTGCGTAGCAAATTATCGAGATTCTTTGATTATTTTCTCTGATAATACTTTCGCATACCTTTGCTACTTTGATCACATCATCTGATGGAAAAATTAATTTTCCTCTATTTAAAAAATCCAACCACTTTTTACGAAATTCCTTGTTTCTCGAAAATCTATTAAAAGAACGAAATTAATATTAAATTTGCAATGTCAACAAGTATCGTACAGAAAATAATATTTAACTCCAGAGAATTTACTGTACACACAAAATATTACATATTACTTGCCCATAATAAGATACCGATTTATCACGTTTACCGCATAATATGCAATATAGGCCTGGCATTTTTTTTCTTATAACACAACTATTATAATTCTAAATAATTTTGCTTACGATATGTCTCCGATGTTCTAATTAGAACAAATTCTAAGCGGTAGTAACCAAATTTCGCGGTGCGAAATTCGCGCTTGCGCATTGCGAGCAAAGGTTAATCTCTACCTTTCTCTCTCGCACCCAACTTGGACACAGGCTCAAGCCTTCATTCCCCTTCCAGGTATATATATATTCTAAGGTTGTGTGTACTGTATCATATACAGTGTTTGCGTAGTCGCGTAGCGACCCTCAGCGTTCCCTCGTGGTGAGTTTGGTGAAATTTGATTCGCGCTATTTGAAGAACCGAATAATCAACCGAATCAACGCCTCGAACTTTGCCGATTAGAATAGACAAGTGGGTCCTTTCCACTCGAAAGTTTTTCTAGATTAACACAACATGGACGACGAGGATGAAACCTATAAATTGTGGCGCATCAGGAAAACCGTGATGCAATTATGCCACGACAGAGGTTACCTCGTTACTCAGGACGAGCTGGATCAGACGCTGGAGCTGTTCAAGGAACAGTTCGGAGACAAGCCCAGCGAGAAAAGGCCGGCCCGGAGCGATCTAATTGTCCTCGTGGCGCACAACGACGATCCTACGGATCAGCTGTTTGTCTTCTTCCCCGACGAACCGAAGATCGGCATCAAAACCATCAAGACGTATTGCCAGCGCATGCAGGAGGAGAAGATTCACAGGTACTTTTTTCCACATTACAACACTTTGTACGACTGGTATTTTTAATAACTGAAGTACGCATCCCAAAACGAGTTACAATTTATTTATGCTCATTATTTTTCTAGGGTCCATATTCTGAATCCTCTTCTATTAAAAGTGCCAATAGAATTGATTCCGTGGCTCGATCATGAATCCCTTTCTCTAGAGTGAACTCGTGGAAAGTGAGATAACTTCATTAACGAGTTCACGCTAGAGAAATAATTCATTATTAAGCCTCTGATGGATTCTTGTTGGCTGAAAATATCTTTTACCAGCACTTTTATCTATAAAAGAAGATTCAGAATATGGACCTTAAAAAGATAAGGAGTATGAATGAATTATAATCACAATATGGGCCTAAGTGGCTTGGTATGAAAAAACTGAGACGCTTGAGAGGAGGATTAGAATCGAATCCAGGATCCGACAACTGCAAGTTGTACGACACACTGTGTCATCCATCATAATATTTTATTTTACTTTTATTTAACTTTCAGCAACATTTCAAAAAGACATTAACATTAGGATCTAATAAAAGTAATTGCATTGCTGTTAATGTTACATCATTTTTATATTTTCAACCTTATTTGGTGCCAAATAGTTTATTTGTATAGTTTCACTTATTCTCAGTATCTGTGAGAGATTACAAGGCGTCATTGTGTCGAACGTTACAGAGCAATCATTGTAGTCCAGCAAGGCATGACACCGTCGGCTAAGCAATCACTGACAGACATGGCGCCGAAGTACATACTGGAACAGTTTCTGGAATCAGAGTTGCTGATAAACATTACCGAGCATGAATTGGTACCCGAGCACATTGTCCTAACTCCGGATGAGAAAGAGGAGCTGTTGACAAGATACAAACTGAAGGAGAACCAACTGATGCGGATACAGGCCGGCGATCCGGTGGCGCGATACTTCGGGTTGAAGCGTGGACAGGTCGTTAAGATAATTAGACCGTCGGAGACCGCTGGGAGATACATATCCTACAGACTGGTTTGTTGAGGGAAAAGAGAATAGGGAAATCGAGGATAAATCGAGCAAAAGTATCTCGCGGACTAAAAGAGATGTTATTAAATTTACTTAGAGCGTGAAAAGAAACACCGCAGATCCGAAATTCGCCATTTATTGTAGCAGCATTTTATAATGGTTATACCATTGCTTCAATAAGAACTGCACATTGTACATTGTTACGCTACGTAAGAAACCACCTGTCCGTGTGTTGAACATCGTCAGCAGCAGTGAATAATTACAGTTCATTCTTATGCGAACACGTGTCCCGAATGCATTCTCCTCTTCTCAATACTTCTCGCATGTTAATGCACTTGACAATTGCATGCATAAGATGTGTACTTTGTTCGTGCGGTTCATCAGCTGACACTTATGATCGATATAAGGCGACTTTTGGCGATTGTTTGGTACATACACCAGAGTGTGCACTCAGCGTCATGAATGCCTTTACACCTGAAGAAAGACGCTAAAGACATTGAAGAGGAAATTTTATTTTAATAAAATGAATTAATCTATCAGAATATATTGAACTTAACGGCTATTTTCAGGTGTAAAAGCATTCGTGACGCCGGGTGTAAACTTTGGTACGTGTAACCAATCGCTAAAAATCGCCTATTAGGATACAGCTTAAGTTTATTACAGAAACAACGATCGTACAAAAAAGATCGCAGCTCACGGGGGTCGCTCGCGATCATCTGACTTGGACAGACATTTATTTCGAGTTATTATTATTGTTATTATACATTGCTTGGTCCAAGAGTATCATGCTATATGGTATATTCTGACGTAAAAGTATATCAGTAGCAGGTTTTCTTCTCGAAGCTATTTTAATTTATTAATAAATGACAGTCATTCCATTAATAGTAAGTACACGTTTTTTTTCGAGTCTAATTGCATTTATTCGTTATCAGATGTATTCGAATAACTTATCGTGATATACTTATCATGTCTCTTATCTGGTTGTTCTTGCTTATCAATAAGATTCAATTTGTGCGAATTGAATCAGAAGCGTAATTGGATGATTCTTTAGCAGTCTATCGCAATTAAATAATTGTACATTTCTTTAGTCAAAGAGATATGATATTGCACTCTGAGACGTGCTTAAACTCGGGTAACTTAAAGGATAACTTTTGAAAAAGTCTCTCCGGATTCACATTCTACCAATCTCTATTAGATCTTACTCGAATCTAATGCTTAATCTCAGCGATTCGATCCTACTTATAAAGGGGAGCGAACGGCGAGCGTTGTTATTAAAGCCGGCGGAACGACATCGATCTTGAAACGCGAATTTCCGCTGTCAGAGCTTATCGCGGTCGACTGATAAAACTAAAAGCGTACGAGCAGAAAGTTTCCCGGATGGCATATTCGCTAGCGTGTAATGAACAGGCAGATCGACCAATCACTCGTTCTACACTTGTTACAATAAGTAAATAACGTGCCATGTAAGTGGCAGCACTCGCTGCTACTAATATAGCCCGTTATTTCGTGATCCAAAGGAATAATCATTATCGTTGGGCACAAGTAAACAAAGCACACGCGGCTATAATTAATATAATATATTGTTATCAATAAAATGTAACATAACATTAATAGTCAATAATAATTAACATAAAAGATAATATAATTAATAATTACACAATAATGCTACGAAGTTGTGTGCTTTACGCAATAAGTAAAGAAAAGATAGTAGGTATCTCAAAAAGACGGTTTACAAAAAGAGGGGAGGGGCAAAAATATACATATTCGGTTATCCTCAAGCGCAACCCCCTTGCAGGTGTAGACAGCGCATGAGACCCTTAGATCCTTGGGATATCTATAGATACTTAGATAACTCTTAGAGGATCATTGTAAATTGTTAGAATTCTATAAATGCTTGAATCCTTAGATCCTTAGGCATCTTTTAGGCATCTTTACATCTCTAGACATTCGTAAAAGCATTCTTGGATTCTTCGATCCCCAGACAATATTAGAGATCTTCGGATCCTCGGATATCGTCGAACATTTTTAAATACTCAAATTGTCCTTAAATTCTAGGTATCATCATGTCCTTGTGCTTGAATGTTTCGATGTCGATATCGATGACAATTCATTCTCTTTTTTTTCTTCACTTAGAATAAACGCGACGTTTCATTCTTCTTCGGTATTTAAGGATTTTGGTGTTGGGACATATGTTTGATTCAGTTTCAACCGTGTTTACTTAGAAGACTTTTCGGCGAGACCACCAGTATACCTTAGTGGCCCATTCGATAGGTGAGGTTTGTAAAATATTGTTTATCAAATCCGCGGCAACTCGGATCCTGTAGGTGATAGAGGTGGGATAAGGCGGCCACTGTTCCCAATAACGGCCTCTATGCGCTCGGCCGTATGAGGCCTGAAAAATTACACATGATTCAGTCTAAATAAAAGTGATATGAGCACAAAGATATTAATAATATGAAAAAGCAAATACAGAACATTAAAAATTTATTTCTCTTACTGCATAACAATCCTTCTTTTTTTAATTTAATATTCTTAAATGACGTAGATCTCATTTGCAATAGTATACATAATTTTTTACAAAACTGTAAGGAATTTATTAGCCAATTAGATGAAATTTATATAAAAATTTACAAATAAATGGATAGACATAAATATACAAAAATAATTGCACAACCAGCACAGGTTTCTTACCTAGGAGTGGTATGGCGTGACATAGGTAGACGGAAACAGTCCCCGTCTATTACCGATTTCTCCGTGCCACCAATGCTGATCTGTACGGTCTGTGACAGTAATTACGTCCCCTCGTCGAAACTCCAACTCGCCAGGCTCTTGCGGAGCGAAATCGTAGAGCGCTTGCACCAAGCACTGAAAAGCCATGACAAGTCGGTTTTACATTATAATATTAAGAAAATGAACTGAAATATAGATAGGTACAGGTAAAAAGAGAATTTATATATTTCTTCAAATAATGTCTTCAAACTTCTGTTAACAAATATTCCAATGTTGTGAAGGCTCTCAAAAAGAAATTGTATGGAACGGGGAAAAGTGCCAATGCGAGCCACAAATGAACGGAAGACGGTTCTCACAAATTTATAAATAACTTCTCTCTTTAATAAACGTTTCGACCCTGTTTCGGGTCTTCCTCAGTATAACTATAATAAAGATTGTGAGAACCGTCTTCCGTTCATTTGTGGCTCGCATTGGCACTTTTCCCCGTTCCATACAATTTCTGTTAACAAAGTTAGACTCTTTGGAAGACAATTTGTATCAGTCTTTACCTCCTCGGGGACCATGTCGCGTAGTTTAACATCTTGCGAGCGAGAAACCGATGCTGTACGATGGTATTCCACCAATTCGTTGAGACTGTTAAACTTGACAACCCACAAAAAGAACTTTCCCTGTGCGTCTCTTAATACTTTGAAGTGTTGCACACCGTCGGAGCACCTGTATATAAATTGGTCATTTTATTCCGTGGTTCTTTAATAATATCAAACAACGATTGCTTCTAGTTCACAAAGTTCTTCGACATTGGACAGAATTTCCTATACAATTAAAATTTCTACTGAAACCTGTACCATCGAAAATCTTTCACCTGTTGCAAAAATTTCAACTGTTACAATCGCATGTCGTTTGTCTTATGTAAATATGATTACTCACTTTACGGATAAGGAAAAATCACCAGGAGAGCTTTCACTGATTCTGATCAGAAAGGCACCTTCATGTTTGTTCATCAATAATCTTTCGGCGTCTGCTCTAGTTATCCTGCCGTAGTACCAGCTGTAACAGAACAAGATAATTTTCGTTAAGATTGTGTTTTTTTTAACATTTTTATTTAAGAAAATTGGAAGGCAAAAGCAATTTTCTGTGAGATTTACATGCTCTATTAGATAAAACTGTTGAATTTTTTTATTACGCGTAATTATCATGTAATATTTATAATACGTACTCGTGGCTCTTCATCTCGATATAATTACTTGGTATAAGTCCTTCTCTAGAGTCCAATTCGGCCCTGTACCAATTCATGTCATCTTCCATATTTAGAATCTGCAAAAGAATATTCTGTGTAAGAAATAATATTAAATTTAGATTTATTAGAATATGCACATTTTGTTGCACATAAATATCTTTACATTGACATTTCAAGATGGACAAATCAATAGAAACTGCGTGACTCTGATGCTAATTGGGAGGAAAGAGTTAACCATATCTCTTTTACAAGTAAAATTAATCTTATGAGATTGTATATTAAAATGTTATAATTTTAAAAATTATTGATGAATACTTAAAAATGATGAATGTCCGTCTTATTTTTAAAAAATTAAAATCTCCAATAATCTCAATAATTTTAATGTTGAAGACAGTACAGTATTTGTATCATTTAATTAGGTTTCTCATAATATACGACGACTATTTGATAAGTTCTCGAAATAAAGTACAAATGACACTCACAGAACAGATGCTTTAAATAGAATCCAATTCTACGAATATGCGTAGAGTCCCAACACGTTCCATCAAATAGAACGAGCAGGTCTAAGTAATTTTGAAAAAGGAAACTCAAAGTGCCTGCTGCGACCGAGCATTTTGTAAAGAAAAGGTTTAGTCACGAATAAGGACAAAATATATTCATACTGATACAAAAAATATGTCAGGGGGCCCTGACATTCTTCACAAAAGATTTGATCGCAGCACGCACTTCGAGCTTATTCATATTTCAAACAGTCGTGCAGATGTGTGCGTTCGAAGATCTACACGGATAGAATTTTCTCTTCAAACTTACACTGGAAATCGTGTAATCGTGAGACAACATGGCATTTCAAGGAATTTTAGTGAGTTTCTTGAAATTTTACCACACACATTCTACTAATAAAATGTATACTAAGTAAAATTACTAGTAGAATGTGTGGTAAAATTAAAAAAATGTCTCACGATTACATGATTTTCAGGATAAATTTTTAGAAAAAATTCTTTCCGCGTATCAAAAAATGAACTATTCGATGGAACGAATTGGAACATACATGTTCATAGAAGGGTTGAAACGAAAGGGTCGGCTATATAAACTCTTTATTTAACGTATGACTATTCCGAGAAATTTTAAAATAACCCTCATACTATTGTCAAGTATCAAAAAATATTTGCAATGCACGATGAATTAAAATTCCTTGGAACGGACTTTGCGGGAAAAAGATTGAGAAGATTCTTCTTGGTTCGTTTTTCTTTCTGCTCGAATTAGTAATTGATGCAATTTTGAGCTTTGTGTAGGGGATTAGATATTAAATTTAAAGTTAAAGCCGGTATTCACAGTCAGACCTTACATTCAAGACCGTCATGAATTTATCTAAAGATGCTGTGTGGAACATTCTATTGGCTACGGAGTATCTAAAAACGATCTCAAATAAAAAAATCTGACTGTGGATACCGTCCTTAGAATGGACTTTGCAGAAAAAGGATTGATTCCTCTTAGTTCGTTTTTCTTTCTGATCGAATTAGCAATCGTTGCAATTTTAAGCCGAGGGGGCAACCGTTGAGGGCATTGTGGTCTACAGATTTGCGGCGTTACTGGGCATTACTAGGCATTTTTTGGGCATTAGTTTGAGCATTAGGCCCTTGCTGGGGCATTACAAAGATAAAATAAGATAAAGTAATGCCCACCGGGCATTAGTGGTCATTAGTGTACAAGATTTTGGTCAGTGGTTTTTCCCCTCGTTTTAAGCTTTGTAGATTAGATTTAAAAAATTATAAAATAACTTTTCTGACATCAGAATTGTCATTTCAGGTTCGCCTTTCAAGAAGCAAAATTAAAAAGTAGTCCTCAACAAATATAAACTTAAATCTGCTGCGAATCGATTCGCTGTAGCTTCTCATCTTTTTATGTACAGAACCAAAAAATATATATACACGCACACACACATGATACCTATTCAAATATGCTCTTCAACAAGTATATTCTTCAAGTACAAAAGATAGCGCCTAAAAGCACGACTAATGCCCTAACTTCTCATCTTTCTCCAACTCTTACTAGAACTAGAGAAACGGACAAAAAGCGAGCCGAGCCGAGCCGAGATTGAAATAATCTCCGCCGGCAGAAATGGACATAAAAGGAACGTGCGTTACTTTAATCCACGCGGCAATCGCCGTCGTTATTGCTCCAAACAATAACAATCGTTACCGCCTCGAGCAACAGACATTCATTGAACGTTTGTGTCAGGCACGGCAGGGCTTTCCGGGCGCCGATTGGCGGGTCCGTCGCGAATGCAACAACAACCCTCGCGTCTTCGTGGCATCGGTCGGCGAGCGTAGCCGCGACGGTGCGAGTTTCGGGATCGGCCGGAGGTCTCGTGACCGTCGCGACGCGACGGGACGGGACGGGACGGGACGGGACGGGACGACGAGACGCGAGGCGACGCGGCGCGACGCGCCTCGCCAGGTCGTCGGGTGACAAACATGAGGTGACGGAACGGACCATCCCCAGGCGCTACCAACCTTCAGGACCTGGCTCCGGCGGAAACTGAGCTCGTCCTCGGCAGTCGCCGTGAAGTCGTGCTTCGCTATCGCCTCCATGTTCTGCCCTCCTAGACGACGGAGTCGACGGGAAACGACGTGCCACTGCTGCTGGAAGGAGCGAGAGGGCGCTCACTACACCAATGTCCCCCCCGCACCGTGGGGAGACGCGAACGGAGTGCGTGCGACGTCCCGACGCGAGGGAGTGGAGTGGAGTGTGCTCGAGGAGGAAGCGAGGACGGGGAGGAGGGACGGCGGGGGTGAGGAAGAAAACAAGAGAGAAACGAGGAAAGGCGCTCGTCGCGCGGACGCGGCACGCGAGGCGACGCGTATTTATTTCACGAGCGCCGCGGCAGGAAAGAGACAATGCGAGGAGACTCGCGAAGGGACGTGAGGCTTCCCGGGGTTTCTCAGCGAGAGCGGCCGGAAGGAGCGCGCGCAAAGCGCAGGGAGAGAGGCTCCGTGCTCCTCACATATAAAAATACGTGGCGAGGTTCGCGCTACGCCGAGCGCGTAAGAAAACGAGATGGAGCGTGAAAAGGAGGGCGGAAGGGACGACGCGCGGTTCGTATCGACGAGCGTGCCCCGGCCGTCTCGCCTTTGTCCTAGGCGCTGGGCGGGCGGTGTCCAAGGATGAGGATACTGCACTCGGCCGTACGTCTGCGTGCGCGCGCGAGGGGATCCCCCGGAAAACGAGCGAGCGGGGCACGTCGACGCGCGCGTACTCGTGCGCGGCACGACACGCACACAGTCGTTCCTGACGCCCTCTGGGACTCAGAGCCTCGGCATCGCACTCGCCGCCCCGCTTTCGCCAGCCAGCAAACGCCCGCGACGCGTCGTACACACGGCCAACTGTCAGAGGCGAACGCACGTACTATCGCGACGGCACATCGCCGAGTCTTATCAGGCGTTACACTTGTCCCCGTTCGGCTCGGCTCGGCCGCGCTCGGCCGCCTGCGCGCCCGACCGTCGCGCATACGCGCGTGACGTCACGTGACGTCGGCCACCCCGCGCCACGGGATGGGGCGGGCAGGGTGTCGCGCGCGGCACACGCGGCCCTAATGGTCGCGAATTTTCAGTAGTTTTTTGACGCTTACGTCAGTCGTCTTGCGCGATGACGTCAGAAGCGGAATCCGAACGTCAGAGCGTAGAGGAAGGGGGGAGGAAATTATGAGGAAACGCGCGCGGTTCTTGGAACTTGCGTCAAGACGGACGGGTACCTGGGTCGAGGAAATCGTCCGCGGTGTAGAGAGAAACTTGCGCCGTAAAAACGTGATGGAACGAACAAAGTGAACGGGATCGTTTTTCCTGGGATAGATTTCTCCGTCGGGTTTTCAACTGACGCGGCGGCCGCGTTATCAACTTTTGCGCCTAGCACACGGAGCTTGGCAAGATCGACGATCGCGACGCGATAACCGGAAGTACAAATTGTCGAGATTACGCAAATTCGATCCGACGTTTCGTCGAGAATTCCGCCGAGTTCGCTCTTTTCACGGTACTCCGTAACGTGCGACAGACGTCTCCAGTTAAAATTTCAATCACGTTGGGCATGTAAATTTCGAAAGCGTGAATTTGGCGCCTGTATTTAAAACGGGCCTCGACGATTATTATGCGCATACACTTTGTATTCCCGAGTCCACGTCGGTGTTTTTAACCTCTAGTCCAAAGTCAAATATACAATTTGATGCGGCCGAGGGCGACCGAAGTCGCACGAGGTGACTACGACATTATCCGAGTTCAAAGTCTCCTTGAGAAAGAGAGAGGAGGTGTGGGAAAGGGAGAAAAGAGCACAAGGATCTAACGATTAGCCGTCATTGCGCATTTTTAATACAGGAAAAACCTGGCTGACTTCAAATTAATTCCGCGCGAAGTCGCAGCGAAAACGTTTTTCTCGAGATATCTGGCGAAACGACGAAAAGCAGACATGCAAAGACTATTCAAGTTTATTTGAATTCAACAGTTCCCTCCTCATTTCGATCTTTTACATAACGTTTTGCACGAGGGGATCCTAAAGCCGTCTGTTTTATCGACATTCTTTGTTAGAAGTAATCTTTTAATTGGCTTTATAGAAATGCAAACCTCTTTCACAGAATTAAAGTACGCAGCAAAATGATGAGGCTTGACAGTTGAAAAGAGACAAAGAATGAATCAAGTTAAGCTTAAAGTTAAACAACGTTGGTGAAACCGGGCCTAAGCCTCAAATAATTAACTTAAGCCGACGACACACGATACTATTTTTCCTACTGGACGACTTACGAGAATCAGTAAAGATGGAGAGTTTTAGATCAGGTGATTTAAAGCTGAATCTTGATTGGTTCTCGTAAGCAATCCAGTAGGAAAAATAGTGTGCCGTTGGCTTAACCAAATTGAATTAAACGATAACACATTTTACAATACGAACACTGGGCGGTATCCGGTATTCGTAGTCAGACGAGCATCTCTAGACACACCGTTCCAAAATGGAAATACACCCAGATAGTCGACTAGAGACAACTGATGAAAAACCGAGCCACAGCGTCGTTGGATAAATTCAAGACTGTCTCGACTATAATCTGACTACGAATACCGGCCGTCGTTTCCGCGAAAAATATCGGGCGAGCGCTCGCCAAGCCGTCGAGAGGTGGCGCCATCTCGCCCGTCGGTCGGTACGGTAGGGCGGGACAATTCGCGTGACGTGACAATGAACGATTCTAATGTAGTACGAAACCAGGCGACGTAGTACGAAAATAAACAGAACACCTCGTGTTTACGGAAGTCCGTAACAGGTGTTTTTCACCCCCTCCCCCTCCCGCCGCCGGTCGCTCCTGCCGCTCCCGCAGCCTCCTCCGCCTCTCCGTCGTCGGAGAGAGACAGGGAAGGGGACAGAAATGCAGGCGAAGCGGCCGTCCACGTATCGCTTACGTAGGCACACTCGTCTCGCGTTCCTCGCGCAAACCCGCCGGCCGTGTTTCGGTCACGGATGTTTGAGTCCTTGGACGCGGCGAGCCGCGTGTCGCCGAGAGAGCCTTCGGCGTACCTCGCGTGTCTTTTCGGGTTTCGCCGTCGCCATCGCGGAATCGCGAGCTCGGTGACGATCCACTTGGCGCATTCTAATCTTCGATTTTTCGACGCCGACACTCCCCGCCTCTCGATCCGCGAGGCATTCTGAACAGGTCGGCTGCAGGGGGAATTCGTAGGTCATAGACTCACGCGGAACGTAATTTACGAGGCTCCCCCGTTGTTTTGTTATTTAAATTCCCCGCGGAATTTATTATCCTTGATGATATGTAGATTGTCGCCCGGTCTTTATCGCGACGCGTGATACTCCGAAGCTTCCCTAAGATTCGCATGAAAGGAGCGATGCGCCAAGGATCGAGAACGGGGGGGGGGGGGAGTCAATTCTGTATCTTGCAACATAGTGAAAATGCTAAAAGTGAGCGTTGTCCCTTTTTAAGGGGACAGTTTGAGAGAGACAAGGCTACTCACTTTTTTTCACCATAATGTAAGATACAGAATTGACCACCGGTTCTCGCTAGTGAAAATTGCGAAGACGAGAGTAACTTTCTTTCTCTACACACATATATGTATATATAAATCATACATATATATATATATAAACAAAAATCGCGACGAAAGAATCCTCACCCGCGAGAATTTCACTTTTTTTTGTTCTCAATCGCTCGCGTATGTACGCGCCTTTGAGGCCGCCTAGATGTATAATTCCCCCGTGATATGAATAAAATACAAAACGAATAAGTAAGACGGGGCGAAACGAGCCGGCGAAACAAATCTGTTTTCGCGAGCGAGTCGAGCAAACGCGGCCCTTTCCTTTGTAAATATTTGACTCGCAACTTGCCAGGTGCGAGTGCTCCCTGTTAAACTTTATTCCGCAAAATAAAAGTCTCCGCGCGGGAGAAACGCCGTCGCCGAGACTCTCCTAAGCACCTGCACGGGCCAGGCGCAGCTGCAACATAATCTCGCGTCGCGTTGCAAAAACTCAACGAACGCCCGCCGCGCGCCCGCGATGTGCACAAAGACGTGCGAAATTTCCACGGCCCGGAGGCGCGGCTGCAAGACGAAACCGCCGAGCGTCCTAATTCCTTCCTCCTTAATAGATCTCGCGGTCTGTTTCCGGCGACTTTACGCCACCTCCCGAGGCTCGAGTTGTCGCTCCCGTTTAAAAACGCAAAACAAACGCGAGCGTGTGTTTTTCATTTTTACCGCGACGTGCCAACCTTGTCCACGAACACCACGTTCGATTTTTGAGTGTCGCGACCCCGACAGAGGGGTTCCAGTAAACACCCAGCATCAGTTACGTTGCATTTATGTTAAGCTAGCGCTGCACTATACGCGATTCGTGATTCGCACAGTAAAAATGTTAACAGCTTTCGCGTGCCCCAAAAGTCCACTCTAAATTTTAAAGTTAAAGTAATATTCATCGCGTGCGTTCCCATACAGCACGCATGTCTGAAAGACATCTTTAAGACATCTTTAAGTCGTCTTTTAGATATGTATGTCTAAAAGACGACTTAAAGATGCCTTAAAGATGTCTTTTAGACATGCGTGCTGTATGGGTTACTTTTTGACGAATTATCAGTGTTCATTAATTGACACTACACTGAAAACAAATATCTTAATCCAAAAAAATATTATCTTACTCAAGAAAATGATTCGTTAGGTGACTTCAATAGCTTATTAACTTAAATTTTAAAAATAATAAACAAATTAAAACGTGCATTTCTTTAATTTAAGCACTTATTAAATGTCACACAGTAGATAATTTTAAATTTACAAAATTTTACTTCAATTCTATAAAATGTTTACTAAGATGCAAGTTTTACAGCGAAGAAAATTGAATTTCTTATTTGACAAAAACAATGATTTCATTTAGTAAATAGTATTCTCTATATCATGAAATCTTTAATTGGATGTAGAATTTGTATACTTCAGAGAAAAAATTTTTAAGTAAATCTACTTAGTTAAAAAAATTTTTTTGTCAGTGTATACTTCACACTTATGTGTTAACATAAATGTAACACATAAAAGTGTTACGAAAGTAATATCATGTCTGTTTTATGTTAATTTTACATTGAAATAATAATAAAATCTTGGTAACACGAGAAAATGGTTAACATTCGAATATACGATTTTTTTACTGCGTATTCGCGAATAGTGTGGAGGAAAAATTGGTCGACTCGTCGTGCGCAACCCTGGCGAAAATAATATGTTTGTAAGAGGTTTGTTTAAATGTTGAGTCAACGTTTTATTTGAGTTTTAAAACATTTATCGAATTGTTTGTGAGATATAAATTTAAACACGGAGTTGTTTATGACACGTTCACGGTTACAAGTGTTTAAATTGCGTTTAATGATACAATGTCAAACCGTTTCCACTATAGTGTTCTAAGTGTTTGTAAAATGTTATTGTCAGCAAAGAATTCACCAGGTGTTTGCAACATACTTCCGAACGGCGTAATCATCAATAAAACTCTTCATAAACAATGTAACTATCGATCAAACTCTTCATAAATAAATATAAGCATCATCTCTCACTTAAAATTTTCGCCAGGGAGTTCGCCATTCGCAGTGATTCGCTAGCCGAGCGGCTTTTTTTTTAACGAAAATAGAGGTTCCTTGACCGATATTGAAACTTGACTAATTGTAGACTTATGATATAAGTCCTGTAATAACGGGTAGAGGTGAAAAGTTGCCGAAGTTGCCGACGAACGAAACGACAAATAGTTGCCACGTCCTTCCGAGACGTCTCGAAGACGTCTAATTTAGGAAGAGATTAAGGGCGATACCTCGTAAAGAAACGATGATAGCGGATCGACGTAGAACGCGTCGATTGGACGTCGATTCGACGCGTACTTTCGATCAATCATCTCTCACCAGGTAGTCCTCGATG